GATGCTGGGAATAAAGAAAGGTGAGAATTGATGGATGGGTGCCCACGGATGCTGGGAATGGGGAAAGGTGAGATGGGTGCCCATGGATGCTGGGATCCCTTCCAACCCAACCCATTCCAGGATTCCCTGGGCTGCTTTGGATGGGATATTGGCAATAAATCCTTCCCTGGGAGGGAATTCCCAGAGAATCCGTGGCTGCTCCATCCCTGGGAGTGTCCCAGGATGGGTTGGACAGTGAATAAAGTGAATAAAATGGGTAAAATTGGTAAAAATGCACCCTGGGATCACGGGAAGTGTCCCTGCCTAGGGCAGGGCTGGGAATGGGATGATCCTTGAGACCTTCCAACCCAAAACATTCCAGTATTCCATAAAAAAATCCCAATTTCAGGACTCCTGACTCATTCCCAGCCTGCAAATTCCCACAGAATCCGTGGCTGCCCCATCCCTGGCAGTGTCCCAGGCCGGGTTTGTCGGGGTTTGGAGCGCCCTGGGACGATGGATGGAATATCCCAAGGTCCTTTCCCACCCATCTGGAATCTCCTGGATAAGGAAGGCCGGGCTGGCTCAGCCCTTCCTGTGTGCCTGGAAAAAGGGAAACGAGCGGGGGCCCAGCAGGGCCAGGGGGTAAAAATAAAAATTTGGCTGCAGCTGCTGCTGCTTCCACTTCCCCAGGACACCAGGCAGGGAAGGGGCTCAGCTGGAATCCCAAAGTTTCCCAAATTTTTTCCCCCTCAAAGGACAAAATCAGCCCCAGATTTGGGGAGGGCAGCGGGACCAGCACCTGCAGCTGGGGCTGAGCCACCCCAAAGGCCACGAGGCTGCCCCAACACTGATTTTATTCAAATTTCAACGATTTGAGGAAAAAAAAATCAGCCCCCGGCAGCAAATCCAGGGATTTTTAAGGCAAAATGGGAAGGAAGAGATGGGAAAGGAAGGGATGAGGGTGCTGAGGGGGCAGCTCCCATCTCTTATTTCAGGAGAGGGAGCTGGGAATGGCCTGGAAAAGCCAGGAAATTTCTGGATCTCACGGATATTTCCCCAGCACCCACCCAGGCACTGCTCAGCGCTAAAAATCAGCAGCAGGGACCCCCAGGTTCTGGGGTTCTGGGCAGGTTTGGCTCATGGGATCTTGAGTTTTTGGGGTTTTGGATGGGTTTGGCTCATGGGACCTCCAATTTTTGGGATTTTGGATGGGTTTGGCTCATTGGACCTCCAGTTTTTGGGGTTTTAGGCAGGTTTGGTTCATGGGACCTCCCATTTTTGGGGTTTAGGTGGGTTTGACTCACGGGATCTTGAGTTTTTGGGGTTTTGGATGGGTTTGGCTCATGGGACCTCCAATTTTTGGGATTTTGGATGGGTTTGGCTCATTGGACCTCCAGTTTTTGGGGTTTTAGGCAGGTTTGGTTCATGGGACCTCCCATTTTTGGGGTTTAGGTGGGTTTGACTCACGGGATCTTGAGTTTTTGGGGTTTTGGATGGGTTTGGCTTATGGAGTCTCAAGTTTTGGGGTTTTTGGCAGATTTCGCTCATAGGACCTCCCATTTTTGGGGTTTTGGGTGGGTTTGGTTCATGGCACCTCTGGTTTTTGATCTTTTGAATGGGTTTGGCTCATGGGATATCAAGATTTTGGGGTTTTGGATGGGTTTGGCTAAAGGGGTCTTGAGTTTTTGGGGGTTTAGGTGGGTTTGGCTCATGGGACCTCCCATTTTTGGGGTTCAGGTGAGGTCTGGCTCCCATACCACCCCCCAGGCCCTCCTCAGCCCACTCAGGGCTCTGCTGATGCCCCAATTTAGGGGAAAACGAGGCCACTCTCCCTTCCCAGTAACGACAAATATTTTACTGGCACCCCTGGCCACCACCACGCCCATTTTGGGGAAAGCAGGAAAATCCTAAATCCCAAATCACCAGATCCAGGAGAGGCCTGGGACCCCCCCAGCCCCACAGGTGGCCCCCACACCCCACCCCAGTGACCAGAGGCCAGCTCAGGGTGTCCCCAGGCTGCTCCTGGGGGGTTTTTGTTCCTCTCCAAGGAACTCCACAATTCCCACAGGATTTGTCCCTTTCCAGGTCCCCCAGCACCAGCTCGTCCAGGGATTTTGGTGCTTTCCAGCTGGAAAAAGTGGCTCCAGGGGGGTGCTGAGAGGTTGGGAATGTTCCCACCCCTGGCATTTTGGGCCCTGCTGCTGCCAGCTGTGGCTTTTTCCTGGAAAAGCAGAAATCCCGAAAGCTGGAAGGCGAACAGAGGAAAATCTGCTTTTAACCCAAAAGCAACAAACTCCCGGCTGAATTTCGCAGCTGCCGAAGCCACAGCTCCGCGCTGCTCTCCAAAACAAACATCTGCATCCCGTGTGGGGCTGGAATTGCCGCGGGAATGGGGCGGGAATGGGGCGGGAATGGGGTTTGACCCCCGCAGGGCTTGGGGACACCGTGAGCAGGTGGCTCAGCCCCTTCCCTTCCCAGGAGGAGCAAAAAAAAAAAAAATAATCCCATGGAAAAGCCTCAAAATCACCCTCCGAGTGCTGGTCCAGGAGCAGGAAGTGATGCTCGGTCAGAGCCTCCTGCTCCAGGGATTTAATGGGAATTTAATGGGAATTTTAATGGGAATTTAATGGGAATTTAATGGGGATTTTTATGGGAATGTTAGTGGTGCCATCATTTAAGGGGGCTTTGGAGCCACCCTGGAAACTGGGAAGGATCCCATGGGATCCCATGGCAGATCCCTGGCTCCAGGGATGGGATCCCAGGGGCTCCTGGAGCACCCCCAAACCTCCCTTCCCCCCCTTAGGACCCCACGGGTGGGACAGGGGGGTGACAGCCACCCCCTTTTAAAGACCGGTGTCCCCACGGTGTCCCCAGAGCCACCTGCTGTCCCTGTCCCCGTGTCACACCCACGCCCAACATTCGGAATCTCCCACCCCCCCCTCGGGGCCGGGGTTTTGGGGGGCCCGGGGGACTCTGTCTGTCCCCGGTGCCACCACCCGTGTCCTGTGCAAATCTCGACTTCCTCCTGCCACCCTCCCGGGGGACAGGAGGGGCTGGAGCCCTAAAAACAGCACAGAAATACCACAGAAACAGCCCAAAACCGCCCCCCAAACACCTCACAAACACCACAAAAACTCCCCCAGAATACCACAAAAATACTCAAAAAAATGCTCTAAAAATGCTCCAAACCCACCCCAAAAATGCCACCAAAACACCTCAAAAACACCCCAAAACCAGGCCCAAAATGCTGCAAAAACACACCAAAAATGCTCTAAAAATGCTCCAAATGAATCCTGGTGCATCCTGCTCAATCCTGGTGAATCCCAGTCAATCCCAGTTTATTCCAGTGCATCCTGGTGCACCCCCAGTGAATCCCAGTGGATCCTGGTGCATCCCAGTGAGCCTCGTTTTATCCCGGTTCATCCCAGTTCATCTCAGTGCATTCCAGTGCATCCCAGTCAATCCCAGTGCATCCCATTGCAACCCAGTCAGTCCCACTGCATCCCAGGGAATCCTGAAGCATCCTAGTCAATCCCAGTGCATCCCGGTGAATCCCAGTCAATCCCAGTGCATCCCAGTGCATCCCAGTGCATCCCAGTGCATCTCAGTCAATCCCAGTGCATCCCAGTGCATCCCAGTGCATCCCAGTCAATCCCAGTGCATCCCAGTGCATCCCAGTGCATCCCAGTCAATCCCAGTCAATCCCAGTCAATCCCAGTGCATCCCAGTGCATCCCAGTGCATCCCAGTGCATCCCAGTCAATCCCAGTCAATCCCAGTGCATCCCAGTGCATCCCAGTCAATCCCAGTGCATCCCAGCCCCGCTCCCACACGGAGCACCTGCTCCCGCTGCAGCAGGCCGGGAATTCCCGGCTGCAGGGTTGGAAGGGCCGATCCTCCAGATCCTCCGGATCCTCCGGATCCTCCGGCTCCTCTCCCAGCCTCCCTGAGGGATTCAGGAGCTCCGAGCTGGGGCAGTGCCTGGTTATCCCGGGAAATCTGGGATAGGCAGGCTCCTCTCCCCACAGCTCCCTGTGATCCCATCCCCGCAGCTCTGGGAAGGGAGGATTGATTTTCTGGGAATACCAGGCTCCAGGAACATTCTCACATCCCCCAGCTCCCTGTTATCCCATTCCTGCCACTCTGGGAAGGGAGGATCGATTTTCCTGGAAAATCTGGGCTCCAGGAACATCACCTCATCCCCCAGCTCCCTGTTATCCCTTCCCTGGGATGGGAATTCTGAATTCTGTTGTCTCTTCCCTGCAGCTCTGGGAAGGAAGGATCAATTTTCTGGGAATACCGAGCTCCAGGAACATTCCCTCATCCCCCAGCTCCCTGTTATCCCTTTCCTGCCGCTCTGGGAAGGGAGGATCGATTTTCTGGGAATACCGAGCCGGGCCCAGCTCCCGGGAACAATCCCAGCCGTGCTCGGCCTCGCACACACGGGCAGGGAATCCCCGCAGCTCCCGAACCTCTGGAAT